GGGTTGAGGGCTTGGGGCTTAGGGGTTCTTGGATTTAGGAGTCGTGTCGTTCTCTGAAATAGGGTTCCTTGTAGCGTCCTGTTTATAAGGGTGCCGTACTATAGTGGGGACCTTAAACGGGACCCGAATTTGGAGAACCACCCATTTAGGGGCTTTAGGGTTTGAGGCCTACGGTCCGGAGCTGAAGGCTTAGCATTTCGAGTCCGCGGGGGCCTCCTGGCGATGCTCACTGCCACCAGCCAGCTCGCGGAGAGTGTCTCGCAGGGCATCCCTGAGGGAGCTGCTGGCCGATACTGGGGCGACCTGGTTTTCAGGCTTAAGGATTTGAGGCTCGAGGCTTCGAGGTCGAAGTTGAGGCTTAATTAGGGGACCTGCTTGTGTAAAACTGCTTCGTGCGGATCCTGCTTTGCATAGCGGCTTTTCGAAGTGGTGGAAGGATGAGCTTTTGCCGCCGAGGTTCCGAGAACGCCTCAGACTTTGGGTGACTTTCAGCAGGAGGTATCTGGCCAGCGTCGTAGTGAGTAGACTATAACCTATCATAGCATACCATAATAATATGGGATAGTACACGATGGCCAACGAAAAAATACCATAGTATGCACTTAGTATGCGATAACATACAACCATGTAGCAATGTACTAGAACATACCTGCGCAAAAGAATGTACACCTTAGCTTACGAAAACATTTACAATATAATGGGGTATATGTTACGATGAGCAACTAGAACGTACCATGACGTCTGAAAGGGTGTTCGCATGCAATTTTCAGCAACACTCTGGGGGCTTGAAGGTTAGAATCGGAAGGACGGTCCCAGGACTCCTAGATCCGGTCCTGCATTACCCATAATAAGGAATATACCATAGTTTCCATAGTTTAGGGTCCTTAAGGTAATGGAGGATTTATGTCATCAACCGTCCCTCCAACCTTTTTTTCAAAAAAGGCGGCACCCTCAATGCCCGAATCCCACGTACCATTAGCCTCGCGGCCCCTAAGTCCGCCCGCCCAAACACTAAGCCTGGGCATGCAAGACGCCTGGTCTTCTCCACATGTCCGGAACCTCGAGACCTTGAAGACTTTGCGTTCCTAAGCAGAACGACGCCTGTGCCCCCTTCACATGGATTCAGGGTAACCATGGGGAATGAAATTGCCACACGATGCTTTCTACCCTTACAATGACTTAATACTGTCGTGCTGGAGGTCTTCGGTCGTAGCAGCAAAAAAGGCACGAGCAGGAGCGCCATCCAAACCATCCCCCCTGAACCCTAAACTGCCCTAAACCCGAAACCCTCGAGAGAACCACCAAAAGACCCCATACCCAAAATCCTTGCGGATCCCGCGCGAAGCAAAGGCAGCTCGATTGTTCTCCCGGACATCGCCAGTACATGCCGAAGATCCAGATCTAGACCGATACAGATGCGAATGCTAACAAAATAGGGTTTGGGGTTTAGGGTCATGACTTCTCTTCCTCCCTCCTCCTCCTCCTGACGGTGCTGCTCGCCACTCTGAGCACTGCTGCTACAGTGACGACCAATATCTGTAGTCTACCTTCTCATGTCCCTGCTCTTTGCTAATGCCTCTGATGGACTACGTCCTGATGAACCCCACGCCGAGTATTATGCCGCAATTCCTCTTGAGTAGGGTGCTTTTGGTCATGCATGACCTGCCCCATCAACAGAATCCATCCTCGGCTTCAGCAGATGATATCTCAAACCCTACACAGACCCTGAAGCCTAAATTCCCAACTACCTCACTTCCCTAAACCTGAAATCTGAAAAATCCCAAACCCTGCGCCTTGGACGGCTGTGCTGGCACCTCCGGTCGGACATCTGGCACGTTCGGGACAGGCGGTGAAGAGCACTCATCCCACGGAGGATGGCGTACTTCCTGTTCTGCGGCTTTGCCTGCTGAGGGGGGGGGGGTGCTTTGACTTTACATAACACAGGGGCCTTGAGTAGGGCCTTTGGGGCGAAGTAGAGTACACTTATAACAATTAGGACGGTCTTGGTTTTTGAGCTTTGCGGGATGCCTTGGCATTAACCAAAGAGACAGCAAGTAGAACGATCAGTAAGCTACGGGGTTCTTGTCAGGGGATCTAATGTTAGGGTTGAGGGTTGAGGGCTTAGGGTTCAGGAAGTTTAGGCTAGAGAAAAGAGTGTGTTCTGGGGTTTAGGAGTTTAGGATGTCATGGATAAGGGTCGGGTGTGCAGCTGGCTGTCGTGTGTGGGGCTCGAGGCTGAAGGTTACAGGGATTAGAATTTCGGTGTTTTTCCATGGTTTCAGAGCTGTGACACCGGGGTATGGCGTTCAGGGTTTGTATGTTCTGGGCAACCTGGACCATGAAGCAAGCAGTCCAGGCGAGTATACAGAGGCCTGACGAGTCAGAATAAGGGTTTAGGGTTTAGGGTTTACATGGGGTTTAGGGTTTGGGGTTTTGGTGTACATTATACCAAAATAATCATCCTGCTGGGATACCTTACACTCTAAGCATAAGAAGGAACCCCAAGGAGTACTGTTACTAGCTATTATGGGCCCCTACACCAAACTCTGAACTGCGAGTCCTATGGGAGCCGCAAGACTTGGAAGCAAGGGTCCACTCGGGTTTTTAGGGGTTGAGGGTTTCGGCTTTTGGGCTCAAGGTTTATAGGCACAACATACCGCCAAAACCGTCAAACGAGTATGTAGGCTACTGCATTGAGGTTCTGGACTCCTTCAGTCTCTGGCTATCACGTAAAGCTTTCGCGCAATTCTCGGACCTTTATAAAGAGAAGTCTCATGCGGTGCAGGCACGTCATGCACTTCGGCGCAGTTGAAGGCTATGGTAGTACGTACCTACGGTTTAGGCTCTAGGGATTCTGGCAGCAACCATGCTTTTACCCGAACAATACAGGAAAGACCTAGAACGGTAACTACCCACCTGAAAATGTCCTAGAGCAAACTTTCTCCGACTATGCAGGCACACGATGCCCAACAATCAGAAAAGGTAAGAAATGTACTACGGCAGGACCTAGGACCTAGATTCCCTTCCCAACAGGCGACAACAGAGGCAGGGTTCATGCAGAAAGCCTGGAAGGGCGACAGAACCTCCAGTAAAGAACGACCTTCTTGACCCTGAAACCCCCAACATACCCTGAAACCTAGCACCCTACACCCGACACCCTAAACCAGAAACCCTAAACCCTAACCCTGAACCCCAGACCCTAAACTTCCTAAACCCGCAATGCAGCTGCAGCTGCTGACACACAGCTCTGCTGCGCGTGGAGCGGCCTGGAGGCTCTGAAACTGAGCCTCCGCACGAGTCGGTGCCCGAAGAGGCTTGGCAGCTTAGGGCTTAGGGGTTTAAAGCTCTTGGGATTTAGGGTTTAGGGTTTGGGGTTTAGGGTTTGGGATTTAGGGGTTTAGGGTTTTGCGGTCTAGGTTGCAGGTTTACATTTTTGAGGGGCCCCAAAAGCAGATTGCTTCGGGTTCAGGGAAGGTTTACGGGTTCATAATTTGGGTCGAGATTTGGGTTGGTTTTTGGGTTGCTTGCTTTGCAGATTTGAGTTTCTAGCTATAGGCTGGGATTGCAAAAATCGCTTAAAGCCCTCTGCTTCTTCTTGTGCTTCTTCATCTCACTATTCTGTTTCTGCTAACTGCTACTCCTTGTGTTGCTGAATTGATCCTCTTCGCTGTTGCTGGTGCTGCCGCAAACAGTGGCATGCATTTGCCGGCACGCTGCCCTAAAGTGCGTGCTAGACTCCTGTTCTACGGACCGTAGATTTGGAGATGTGTTCGGAGGGCGGTTTAAGGCTTATGGTACAAGCCCAAAAGTTGGAAACCCAATAGCCTCAATCCTTTAAAGTAATATAGAAGGAATCCCAGCACTATTTGTCCTTAATCCGGTTTCCAAATTTTTGGGGTTTACTATAGAGCCTTATAACCCTAAACCCTAAACCCTATAGGGTTTAGGGCTTCCAAAAAGAAAGAAACTCATGGAGCTCTGGGCGCGTGAAAGCGAGATCTGCCTGCCCGGACAGGGCTTAAAACCTCAACCCCCGACCCTGCTTGGAGGGTCGGGGGAGTTAGCAAGTAGGTAATAAGTAGAGTTATAAATACCCAACAGGGATCCTAGTTGGGGTTATGATACTAAACCCTAAACATCCCAAAGTCCTACAATACCCTGAATCCCCTGCACCTTCAAAGGACCCAAACCCTAAACCCGAAACCATAGGGGCCTCAATCGGATTACTATGATTTTCCATATGCATGTGTAGAGTTCTTGGTTTCTGCCCTCCCATCATATTTCACATGCTGCATGTGCTAAGTATAATCAGCTTTTCAGGATTCCTTCCCGAGAGAACCCAATACCGCTTAACTAAGCAACATTAAGGCCCCTATAGTTTAAGGCATATTCCTTAGTTAAGGGGTATTGGGTTCTCTGGGTCTTGAACCTTGCACCGATCCCCGGGAGGCTCAGATCCAGAGTGTCGCAAAACAAAGATCTCTAGTTTCCTAGAAGGGACAAGGGTTTAGGGTTTAGGCTCAAGCTTGCGATGGGTTTTGTCGGGTTTTATGCTTTATGCAGGTTATACACAAGCTCCTTCTACAATGTTGTAGAAGGATTCTGGTTAGTCTATCGGGCTACATGCAGGGACCTTTATCATCAGAAAGGGCTTGGTGGTTCATGCTAAACTGATATGACATAGGGACTAGACGGGGATACTAATTCATGCGTCAAGCTCTTTTTGACAGCACTTGCTGCATGGAGGAACTAGAGAAAAGCAGAGAAGCCAAGACACTCCCTCCCTTGCCGTGCAAGAACAACTGATGAGCTGTTTTGGCATGTCTTTAAATGTCCTTGCAAGAAAAAGTTGGCATCGGGCCAAAAAGTTTCTGAGCTCAAGCAAGCCCCGAGCTGCAGCCATAGACAATCACCGAGAGCAAGCGGAATCAAGCGCTACCCCTCCACCCCGGTTTCAAAACTCACCAGAAATCGCTCAGTACCGTCGGCCTCGAAGCTCAAGTTTTGCGCATGACCCCTGAAGTGTTGGTTGAGATTGTTGGCGACCTGGCGATATGTTCCAGGGTAGGTACCTACTCCAAGAGCAAACAGAAAAATCATGAGAACGAACGATGCAATGCTCACTATGCCGGACGCATCGAACACAATCCTCCACAATGGGTCAGGAGCGTGGCCCAATCCTTCAAGAACAATGCGCAATGGTGCCAGAATAACGCCGATGATCGAGACCACCCAGACAGCACGACATGAAAGAACCGCTATTCTGCAACATCTCTGGAGTCGAAAGCCCCGGTAGACGATGTCTCTAAGCGCAGCCATATCGCTTTGCGATAGGCTGGCCGCTCTCTCCAAAGCCTCCAGTTGCTCCTGCCACATTTGCTCCTTCCTCAGCCCTGTTCCCCAGACTTGTAAGCGAAGCCTGGTTCCTTGGTTTCTTTTTCCTACTATTCGGCTTTAATAAGGGGTCCTTAAGATAAAAAGGGCAAAAGGGTACCACTCAGGGACCTAGGTTCGCCCATCCGGAGTCGCCACAGCGTTGTCCTCAGCCACAGGAGTAGCCTCTGCCGGACCCAGAACCAAGTTCTGCAGCTCCAGGTTCCGCACCACTCCCTCCACTTGCGCCTCAGGTTTAGGGTTTAGAGTTTCGGGTTTCGGGTTTCGGGCTTTGGGTTTGGGGTTTCGGGTTTAGGGTTTAGCGGCACCAGTCCCTCCACTTGCGCCTCAGACACGCCAGCCTGCAGCAGGGCCTCTCTCATGTGGACTTCTTCTCCGGCCATGGGGCGCAGGTGTGGAGCTTGGCAGCTGTGGGGTTCAGCTTGAGCCACCTCGGCTGACACCAGGACCTGGGATATTACCCAGTGAGCACATGGGAGTTTACAGGGTCTTCAATCCAAGAAGCCTCTCCCAGTGAAGCCTCAAAGCCTGTAAACCCTCAAAATCGCAAACCCCTTTCCTAAAGCCCTCAACAGAAGGCCCCGAAGAAGGCCTCGCAACCCAGATCCCTTAAACCCTAAACTCTAATGCATCTGCGTGCTTTCATCAGCTAGATAAGGATCCATGCGTCGCTCTCGCTCGGATTGTCTGCAGAATGCTTGGGTAAACCCCTCAACCCCTCAAACACCCGGAAAACCCTCGAAATAACACTTAAACCCTTGCGGAACCGGCCTAAAACGTTTACGGAACCTTTCCAGAATCCCCTAAACCCCTAAACCATAAACCCTAAACCCTAAGGCCTCCATCGACTCCATGCTCACCTGCAGCTGTTGCAGCTGGTTTGCGAAAGCTGGCGGGCTCGAAGCCAGCTGTCTCTCAACCTCACGGTTTGGAGGCTCTTTGGGGTTTGTAAGGCTTCAGGGATTATTCTGTATTTACGGTTTGGGGTTTAGGGTTTAGGCTTTAGGGTTTGGCTTGTCGGCCTTCGCGATTTGGTGGCTTGTACGGGCTTTATAAGGGGTCCTCTGGGTGGGTTTGGCATGGTCCTATGTGGGTTTTACAGAATGTTGTGGGGCTTAGAAGGGACTTAAGGAACCCTGAACCCGAAACCATAAACCCTAAACCCTGAACCCTAAACCCTGAACCCTGAACCCTAAATCCTAAACCCTAAACCCTAAACCCGAAACCCTAAACCATTTTGGAGTAAAGGTGCTTTGTAAGGTTGGAGACTCCAGGAGAAACGATGCTCCTTACTTGGAGGATCATGGGACTTAGCAAGGTCAAAGTACCGTAAGTGGGGTCATAAGTCATTAGAGCTGTAGATAACTTATCTAGTAATACTTATAACTACTGCTACCCTATTACCCTATTTAGAAGGAGCTGTGTATAACTCTACTTAACTCATTTCTAACCTTACTTACTAAGTCCCATGATCCTCGGGGTCGGGAGATCCGTGCTCGGCTCCAGGAA